GTGTGTGTGTGTGTGTGTGTGTGTGTGTGTTTGAGTGCTGTGTGAGACAACCTTGGAAAAAGAAAGGTGGGGGTGAGCGAGGTGTCTTTCCCCCATTGCGTCTTGCTGTGGGAGTTAAGTGAGATACACGAGTGAGCTGCATAAACACTATTAGTTGTTTATTATTTTTTAAAACTACAGCAACTTGAACCAAGCCTTTTGTTCTGCCGTCGTTGATTGCTGAGCAAGCCTGACCACCAGGAAATGTCCCAGTTCTCTCAAAGGACAGTTTGTAGCTGTGTCTCTATTCACGGGTTGCAGCCGACATAGAGTGCATTTGTCAGCCACTTACATACCTGGCCTGCGCCATAGGCTGTCCCAGTTCATAGGCATCTACTCATGAGGTTGAAAATTGCAGCTGAAAAAACCCTGTCGTTTACAACTGAAGGTATGTGATTCAATTCAATTCAGTTCAATTCAATTCAAAAATACTTTATTGATCCCAGAGGGAAATTAGGTGTTGTAACTCATTGAACTAAAAACTTATTGTAGATGCTGATKSCTGTGGGCAGGAAAGAYCTTCTGTAGCGTCTGTATTACAGCGAAGTTGAAGAAGCCTCCGACTGAAGATACTTTGTCTTTCTATGACAGTCTGATGAAGAGGATGGTCAGGGTTGTCCACAATGTTCTTGATTTTATGTAAAATCCTTCTTTGCACCATCATCTCCAGAGATTCCACAGTCGTCCCCAGAACAGAACCAGCCTTCTTTATCAGGTTGTTTAGCCTTTTTATGTCCCTGGCTCTGATGCTACTACCCTAACAGATGACAGCAGAAGAGATGACGCTCTCAACAACAGACTTGTAGAAGATCTGCAGCATCTTGCTGCAGACATTGAAGGATCTCAGCTTCCTTAAGAAGTACAGTCTGCTCTGTCCTTTCTTGTAGACTGCTTCACTGTTGAGTCTCCAGTCCAGTCTGTTGTCCAGATGAACACCGAGGTATTTATATTCCTCAACCACCTCCACTTCTTCTCCCATGTTGGTAATAGGGTTTGATCTAACACTATTACTCCTGAAATCTACAATCATCTCCTTTGTTTTGTTCACATTCAAGWTGAGATGATTGTTCCCACACCATGCCACAAAGTGGTCCACCAGCTCTCTGTACTCAGCTTCCTGTCCATCTCTGATACACCCAACAACTGCACAGTCATCTGAGTATTTCTGTAGATGACAGCAGTCTGACTTGTGCTGGAAGTCTGAAGTGTACAGTGTGAACAGGAATGGTGAGAGTACAGTTCCCTGTCTGTGGTGCTCCTGTGCTGCTGACCACATGGTTAGATACACAGTCCTTCAGTCTCACAAACTGTGGTCTGTTAGTCAC